GTATCAATGTGCAATAATTCAAAACTGTTTTTGGTGGTAATATGACTTTTAGAAAATGGCAATTTGTGGAGTCTAGCCATTGGACAAATTTCACAAGGAAAATCATGTTTCTCACCTTCTGAATAACATATATCTTTAATGTGCCTCATAGAAGCGTAAGGTAAATGCCCCAACCTATAATGCCAAAGTTTTCTAGAGTCAAGAGAATCAGAAAGAGTATTCATTGCATTCATATTCTGATCATTACAAACGACAGGATTCTTGACTAATTTAGAATGAAAAGACTCAAAATCAGATACTACATGTTTGGACTTAACATGATGTTTGGGAGAAATTAAAGAAGATTGAAAACTAGAAGACTCAATTGAAATGGGATTGGAATCTGATGTGCAATCCTTCAGTACATATAGACCAGCTGCAGCTTCACCAAAAATCTGTTTCCTGTTGAGATTGAGGTCCTGTAGAAAACACCCACGTTTAGTAAAAAGAAAACCAAGCTCGGTTTGATCAACAAATTGGCTTACAGAAAGTAAATTGTGTTTAAAAGAAGGAACATAGAGCACATTCTGTAGCTCTAAATTAGGAATGAGGGAAACTATTCCTATGCATGTGACAGAAACCTTATAGGAATTAGGTAGAGTAACCGAAATTGGTCTAGAAAGATATTTTATGTCATGAAGCAAAGATTTGTCATAAGTCATGTGTTGAGAAGCCCACGAATCAATGATCCATGGTTTAGAATTAAAAACAGTGAAACATGAAGAATAAGCACTCAAAACAGTTGCAATACCAGCCATGCTTGCAAAATGGTTTTCAGAACCTGATGCTTGGGAATCCCCACTTTGGACATACTTAAATATCTGTATCAGTCTATCACATTGATTCTTAGTGAAACCTTGAGAATTCACAATATTTGACATAGTGCTTGATCCTACATTTTTGCCAGAATGCTCATTGAGCATAATTCCTTCCTCAGAAGCAATAGTGAAATTGTTTTCTCCTGTACCAACTGCATTAGCTTTAGCATTGTTGTGAGGCTTCTTTGTCTTGTTTGTAAACTTGTAATCTGCAGGGTACCCAATCAACTTATAACAATTTAATCTTACATGGTTGGTCTTCTTACAGTAGGTACAGAACATGTTATTCTTCTGTCCACTGTTTTGGTAACCTGCTCCTACAACTTGATTATTCACCCTGGATTGTGGATTGTTCCTCTGTTCATTCCATCTTGTTACATTAAAGCCAACAGAATCTGGAAATCCTATGTTTCCATTATGCACTTCTCTTTGAGATTCCTCATGTAAGATCATGGAATAAGCTTGATTAGTAGATGGTAGGGGTTTCATCATCAGAATATTCCCCCTACACCCTGAATACATTTCATTCAAACCCATTAAAAATTGCATCAATTTGATATCTTCATTCATTTTATGGTTGTGTGTTTTAGCACCACACTTACAATCACAGCCACAAGTCATGAATGTGTTCAAAACCTTCATTTGGTCCCATAGCTTCTTTAGTTTGTTAAAGTAACTAGCAACATCATTTGTACCTTGAGATATGTTGTTGAGATCTCTTTGTAACTGAAAAAGTTTTGCTCCATCAGGTTGTCCATACCTCTCTTGGAGCTCATTCCATAGATCAACAGCAGTCAGGCAATAGATAACACTCTCTGAGATCTCCTTGCTAAGAGAATTCAACAACCAAGCAATGACCATGTCATTGCACCTTCTCCAGTGGTCAAAAAGAGGTGAGTCTTCTTGTGGAACAATTGCTTTGTCATCAACAAAGCAAAGCTTATTCTTAGCTGACAGAGAAATTAAAACTCCTCTTTTCCAATTTCCATAATTAGAACCATCGAAAATGATGTTGATGAGATTGTTTCCAGGCGAATCTGATGGAGTCAAGTAGTATGGATGACTGGAATTGACTACATCAGTGGTTTTCTCAGCTGAAGAGGAAGATTTGTCAACTACGGTCTCAATTGCCATCTCACTGAAATTGAGTGAAGCAGTATAATGAA